GCTGGCATGTGGTGCTGGGGGATTGAACTGCGGTCCCTGTGCTTTGCCAAGCTTGTTCCAAGTAGGTGCTTTAGACCACTGAGCCATCTCTCCAGCCCTCCACAGCATTCTTACAACCTGTGATAACCTCATTCCTTTTCAAACTTATTCATGACAATTTATTTATTTTTTCATTGGTTTTTCTACCTCTGGAAAAAGATGTGCTCTGCCTTGTTAACTGCTGTATTGCCAATACGTAGAGAGGACCACTCAGTCGAGGATAAATGATGGAAGGAGTAAGTCCCTGTATTTATCTAGGAGAACAACTTAGGGAAAGGTAAGAGATGAGCCAGTAAATTAGCTTCATATCTTAAGAAGCCAATGTTATCAAAACTCAATAAAATAGAATTTGTTGCATCCATGTAGGAAGGCACTGTTAACAGTGGGAAAGCTATTAGTGTGTAAGAGTAGCCTCTTAGTAAATAATGGTATTTATAGTAAAATAATAGTCTCTGTAACTTTCACTTTTATTGTATGGATAATGTTGACATTTGTGCATGCATTATTCAGTATTAGAGTACATAATACTTTCTAGAGATATTTAGAGTTTAATCTCTGTTACAGTTGTTTCATTTTCTGGTAACAATACCATTTTTCCTTTGAACAGATATGGTGTTAGACAACATGATAGCCTCTGGTCAGTTAGATGAGTCCATAAGAGAGAACGTCAGAGAAGCCCTCCTGAAGAGGCATCACCATCAGAATGAGAAAAGATTTACCAGTCGGATTCCACTTGTTCGATCTTTTGCAGATATAGGCAAGAAACATTCTGACCCTCACTTGCTTGAAAGGAATGGTGAGATAAGTTGTGGCACCCAGTATTTGCTAACTCTTTTCTAACAGCACTCTAATATGTTACAGTTAACACGGGGAAAGAGAGATGCTATTTCCAGATAATTAGGATTTTTTTTTGTTCTTTTTTATGTAGTACTATGTGTGCTTTTTAAAATGTTTTTTCTGAAATAGCTTTCTTTAAAATGTTACAGTCATTTAAAGTAGGAATCACTTGGTTGAAAAAATTAAGCATTTACTGTTAATATGGCACAGACTAATTTCTTCTGATTTAAATGGTTATACTCCTTTACCTTTACCTTGAATTACTTTTTTTTTTAAGATTTCACATTTTATAATTGATTAAAAAGGCATAAACTCTTTAAGTCCCCCCCCCCCTTTTGGTTGCTGACTATGCTGTAGATACTCCACTGGCACAATTCAGTAGTTCTGGATTGGTTTCCTATTTCACTGCTCTTTATACAGTTTCATGACATTGCCTGTGTTACACTCAGCGTCTTACAGCCTTGCGGAGTGGCTGGGACCTGTTGTGCAGAGTCCAGCTTTCTAGTGTCCTCCAGAGGAAGACAGCGCTTGTGTAGCCATTTCCCAACTCTGGCAGTGACTTAGACGGACACACCGAGGTTTGCCCTGTTTGTTTCTGTCTGAGGTGGAGGACTCCATCATTAGTGTTCCATTCTGGCTCCCAGCGTGAACTGTGATGACGTGGATCTAGATCTCAGGTGCCGAAGATGAGAGTAGCTTACAAGGGTCATTATTGCCCACAGCTGCTACTGTTGCTCTACGCTGTGGATCAAGGTGACGATGCATGTGGGACGCAGTGCTTTTCTGCTCCATTTCTTTCCCTGAAATGATAGTGTGACTTGTAAGTGTTGTACAAGCAAACAGCCACCGGTGATGGAGTTTAGCACCCTTAAAGTTGACAGTAATTAATTTGTAGTTCAGTGGAAGAGGCTTAATTTGACCATTTGATTATTAAAACTTTTATGCCTGATATTTAAGGAAGCTTAAGAATAAAAGTAAAATCTGTGAACTTGTTTATCTTAAAAGCAAGTTAAACATGGCAGTTTATCTTTCCTTCTATATATTTTCTGCTTTAATGAATGTAATTTACCCAAAGTCCTTATTAAATTACTATTCCTTCTTTGTAGTTTTAGTTTGATTACTTTTAATCATAAGACAAGGGCTGTTTTCGTCTGGTGGCCATTTTATCATGTTACTGTGGTTGTGACTGGATAGTTTTTCTGCATGTAGCTTGTTTTAACTGAAAAGTGCTTGTTAATGGGTTAAATGTTATAGTACGAGCTCTCTTGAGCATGTAGCTTTGATAACAGGCAGTAGGACTTGTTGGATTGCTCTTGTTTCTCCCAAAACAACAACAAAAACCATCAGTTTTAAGCTCCACTAACAAGAATACTAGATGTTTTAGGAACACTTGATCTTTTAAACTGTTGTAGATTTAGTATCTAACTGCTTTTGTTGGTTAAATGCTTTTACCTAGTTAATTCAATGGTGGCATATATTTGAATGGATCTGTGATGTTAGAAGCAAAAAACTCACCTTAGAACATTTATTATAAGAATCTTTTTGGACTGTTCAATAATATATGTCCTTTAAATTTATAATTATCTTTTTTAAAAAATTCCCATAACTTTTGTTTTTGCTTTTGTAAATTTTACTTGAAAGTACAACCCTGCCCTATTAACTTAATATTGTAAATAGTTAATATGAATTTTATGTTAGAAATTTTCAAACACTGTTAATGTGGTTAATTATCTGTAGTTATTTGGTACTGTGTGGGAAAATATACTAAATATAAGCTGTCAGTGCTGGTTAAGTTTTGGTTTGGGTTCTCCTGATTTTGTTTTTCTGTCTGCTGTTTATTATTGAAGTAGTAACTTTGAATTGAGTATCCTTTTTAAAAATACTATATTTTGGGTCATACTAATTTCTAACAGAATGTTGTTACCACCATTTTTCCCCTTTTCTTATGTGTTTAAGGAACAAATTGCAGATTAAGCAACTTTTTAGTGACTTTCTAATATTTAAGAATCTGATTGACATGTCAAACCTCACAGCATGAACTGGATATTTGAGATCTTTAAAGCTTGTAGTTTACAGTGTTTATTGATTTTTGTGTCTCTGTATTTGCCTTTTGCAGTGAACTTCATCAGTTTTTATTTATTTGTTTTATCTCAGGGGAAGGCCTTTCAGCCTCCCGCCACTCTTTGCGAACAGGTCTCTCTGCCTCAAACCTTTCATTGAGAGGAGAGTCGCCTTTATCTCTTCTTCTCAGTCACCTTCTTCCTTCTTCAAGAGCGGGAACCCCTGCAGGCTCGAGGTGCACGACCCCAGTGCCCACCCCTCAGAACAGTCCTCCTTCCAGCCCTAACCTCAGTCGCCTGACCTCCAGAAGTTTCCAGCAGAGGCAGCCTCAGGCCCCAGAGCTACTGGTCTCACCCGCCAGTGATGATATCCCCACTGTAGTAATTCATCCGCCCGAGGAAGACTTAGAAGCTCCGAAAGGCCAGGAGCAGAAGAATGAGGAAAATGTTGACTTAACTCCAGGCAACTATTCATAGTCCTCCACGTGTGGTGCTTTGTGCCTCTGGATCACTTGCACTTGGAATGCTTTAAGCACATGACTTGAGCAGCATACGTAGATAACACATAATTTATTTTGATTTCTGCATGTTTTTTTTTAATTTGTAGTATGTTGTAGATTAGAATTATTAAAAATATAAGCATAAAAAGACTACAGAGAAAACCACATACAATCTAATCCCTTTCCAACATTTTCACTAAAATTTTAGTGATTCAGGCATTAGAATGTAGTTCAGAAAACATACGAATTCCTTATAATTGATATTTTAGCTAACCATATTTTTTAAGAATGGTATCTTTTCTTATGCAGTTCACTCATAAGATGAATAAGCACACATATGTAGAGACAGTGGAAGGGATCACCGATCGCCATCTGATTGCCCCCCGCCATACAATATATAGGTTTTCGTTTTTAACAGAAGAGGATCATTACTTCATTTTTGTCTCTGAAGGTTAAGGTTCTCTAATATCAAACTGCTTGGAATCATAATTCTTTTAAGAGCAGTATTACATTTCTAAACAAATTTTAGTTGTCCTTTATCTCTTTTTTGAGGCTGGCTCAGCCCGCCCTGTGGGTGGGGCTGGCGCAGCACGTGGTGCATAAGCTTTCCCAAGCAGGTGCTTTAGACCGCTGAGTTGTCTCACTGGCCCAGTTGTCCTTTATCTTAATGCTACATAATCTTTAAAATGAAACTTCTTGATTATTTTCAGGATCAGGTTTCTTACAGTTAGGAGTGGGTTATTTTCTGTGTGAATTAAAGAAATGATTTCTTAGTAATTGAAACTTTTTATAGTATATTGTATTTAAGGGCTATAAATTACACTTTTGGATCTTACACATTGATTATATGAAGATTTGCATATGTACATCTTTCCATCTAAATTTTATTTAAAAAGTACCCGTTAGTGACTACTCACACCTCACACGTTAGCTAAGCCTTAACCTAATACATACCAGTACTAACTAGTGATTTTAATCACATATTACACACTTCTCCAGCCTTCTGATCTGTAACACTTCAGAGACTGCTTAGTTACTATATTATCTTACTCTGTGTGTGTTGCAAATTTTTGTGAGTTAGGTACACCTACCCATTTTCAAAAATTCAGAAGTTAACTCGTGAATCATACAACTAGTATTGAAAAGCATACAATCGTGTGCCTGCTGGTCCTTGTATTTCTGCACTGTGTGAAAGACCTTTTTCTAATGGCTTTATTCAATAACAACAAATTTATTTATTTATTTATTTATTTATTTATTTATTTTGAGGTACTGGGGATCGAACTCAGGACCCTGCGCTTGCCTGGCGAGCACTTATTCTACTGAGCTATCTCCCTGGGCCCAGCATATTTAATTATAATTAGAAATGTAAATCATATCATTAAGTGATTGTGTTATTAGTTTTGATCACAGTTGCACCTACCATAGTTCTATAGTTTGTCTAGACAAAGTGAGAGGTATTTCTCAGATGCAATATTTCTGATTATTACAATAATTTGATGAGGTTGATATTCTTATTTTACAAATGAATAATTAGGCATAATAAAGCAACATTGTAAATAATCAGAGATTTGAACTCAGGTCTACTTACAACAAAATCTATAGTATAGTGTTTTAATATAAATTTTATTAGTAATTCATAAAAAACATAAAGTTTTATAGTGATGAAATTGAACATAAGGAGAAGTAAACACCTAGAAGTAATTACTCAGAAATAATCACTTATATTAAAAAGAACTAGCTATCTTTTTCTTCTTCCTTTAATAAAGGTGATTTTAAACATTTATTTTTATCTGCATTACATTGTTGAATAACACTGAACATTTCTTGTTTTAATCAGCCTCTGTGTTATAAATAATAAGGGATTGCACTTTTTATTATAAAGAAGCAATATATAGGTTTATAATGGCTTATTTAGTCCATGTTAAGGGTATAAAAAGAGCAATTGACTGAGAATTGAGGAACAATTTTTTTCTTCTTAAGTTTTTACAATAATATTTAAAAGTTTTTCTGAAAAATGAAAGTGTAAGAATTTCTAAAGACAAGAACAGGCTTATAATCAGTATTTGAGAGGACAGCTGCAGAAGATCAGTAATCACTGAGGAAAAGTAATAGAAATAGCAGTATATTATTTCCCATTTACTTCTGGCTCCTCAAACACTTAGAAATTCCTACAGAATTTCCTTATGTTAGAGATTAAGTGGCCTCAGCATTCTTTTGGAGAGGCTGCTGCCATGATAGAGTCATCATTTGTGTATGCCTGTGTTAAAAAAGAAAGTGCAGGGGTTAAGGAGGTAGCTCTGTAGTCTAAGTGTCTGCCTGGCAAGTGCAAAGACCCGGGTTCGATTCCCGGTACCACATGCCATGCTGGCTTTGCATTGTGCTGGCCCTGCACCCTGTTGGCCACCGAAACCAGATGTGGTGGCGCATGCCTGTAACTCTAGTGCTGGGGAGAATGAAACAGGAGGATCACTAGGACTCTGAGCTGCATAGCAAGATCCTGTACCAAATACATAAATAAAAGATTAAAAAAAAAAGTGGATTAGATACTCTTTGGAACTGTGAAATCTTTGATTTGCCCTTCTCCAATTAGACTTGTTATTTAAAAAAATGCACAAGATAAAATAATAGGTTTAATAGAATACGGTTTTTAAATCCCTAACGAAATAGTCATTCTGAGTCATCTGTCCTAATGATAAAAAATATTTTGAGGGGGTGATGAAACATATTTTTAGAGGTGTCTTAATTTTGGGCATTAGGGATTCCTTGTAAGAGCAGGGAGATTGTACTGGTTAAGAAAACAGCCTCCACTTAGCTGATGTTTGGAAGGACTGCATAGAGAGGGTGATGACGGGAGATACTTAGCATGCACCTTCCATGCTGATTTTGAAGAAGGGACAGATTCAAGAAGGCCAGTTAGCCAAATGACTTCAGATGATACTTTCCAAGCTTAGTTCCATATTATTTCATCCAACTATTCATAGTATATTGTTATTTTTCTCTACAACCTCCTCATTTTCCCCCCAAAATCTGGTGGCTGTGATTATTTGTAAAACTATGTGCAGAACTGCATATTCTTTTGGTTATATATTCACAGATGTTTTTTTCAATGGGTATCAAACTTAGGACCTTGTGTTTACTAGGCAGGCACATAAGCCACTGCTCCTGGCCCCTGCATTCACAGATTGAGCGCAGCTAAGCAGTTAAAAGCAGTGTTAGACTACAGTTGTCACCAGTACCTTTATGATATTCTTACTGATTTCCTTGTATGGGAGTAGGTGGGAACCATTTGAAAGTTCTGCTAAACTCATTCTCTATAGACAAAAAGGGGACTTTTTCTAGATGGTTAGAGACAAAAATTAAAGAGTAATCTTAACTTTTCCATACTAACCATGAAAAATGGCTTGCTCAAGGAAATAGTTTTCATTTCAGTATTGTTTAATTTGTTCAGAGAATGAGAACAATCCTGGATAGCAGGTCATTTTATACTCAGATTTTCAATATTTAACAGAGGTTAAGAGTCCTTCATAACTGACTTTAAGCAGTAATCCCAAATATCTTAATTTTAGTATTCATTAGCTATAATTTGTTGTGCAATTTTAAAAGCAATCTCTCAAATGCATCAGGTGCATCTAATGTGTTTAAAATTTGAGAACTTCAGGACTGTGAGATAGCTCAGCGGACTAAGTGCATGCTTTGGCAAGTGCAGGGACCAGGGTTTGATCCCTGGTCCTGCATGCCATTCTGGCCCTGCCCCTTGGGGTACGCTGAACTGGCAGTTGAGTCTGGGCGTGGTGGTGCACATCTGTAATCCCAGCGCTGGGGAGGCTGAAAATAGCATCACTACAAGTCCAAGCTGTGTAGTGAGACACTATACCAAAGATATAAATGGAAAAAAATAAATTTTAAAAAATCAAAAATGAAATTCTAAAACTTGAAGTTTGTTGTATTTCAGTAACTATGATATTCAATATTTTGAATATTAATTAGCTTAATTAGCTTATATTGTTTTAGAAAATCTTTGGTGTTTGGAAAAAAGGTGCATTTAATGGTATAAATGTGTGTAATGTACTTGAATTTTTGAATGATTGATTGGCTAATAGATAGATACTAGGGCTTGAGCCTCAGGGCTGTCCACTGAGCTACTTGCACATCCCTTTTTATTTTTTTATTTTGAGGTGGTCTTTCTAGGTTGCCCACTGCTCCTGGCTCCTACATCCACAGATTGAACACAGTTAAGCAATTGAAAGTAGTACTAATGTCACCAGTACCTTTGTGATATTCTTACTGATTTTTAACTTGGGCTCCTTCTCCTTCACCCTTTCTCAGGGCTAGGATTATAGGCATGCACCACTGTGGCTGGCCAATTGAAACTTTTGCACAACTTGTATTGCTAACCATAGTGATTTTAGGTGATTGGTGTGAAATACTGTTGAATGTCACTTGAATTGAATGTACTAATACTTGATCATGTGTTTATCATTGTAATCCAAACAACTATCATAAAACACAAGCTAGTTTTGTTAGCTAGGTTTGTATCATCATAGGTTAAGGAATTAATGATAGCAACATCTTGGATTATAAAACATTTAGTCTTTGTATTTATATCGTAAAATATTTTAAAGTTGTATTTCTTAGGCATAATGACAGTAGGATATTACAAATATAAATACTAAAATGAATTTTAATGTTAGGAAAGTAACTTTTCTCAGTTACACCTATTGCTAGAGAATTTGTGTAGCTACTGATTTACCCACACCTAAGTAAGCTTGAGGATCCCTCAGCTCAGAACCGTTCATATATTCACAGTGATAATCAGACTTAAGTGTTTCTTCCCGCTTTTCTGGTTCCATATTGACTCACTTTATTTTTTCAAAAGGTCACTATTTTTTAAAATTCCAGTTATTTTAATATTAAAATGTATAGCCTTGTCATTGCTTAAAATATTTTTTCTAGTTTTGCTGGTATGATACTAACACTTGGCACTCTTTTTTTAACTTTGCACATTCACTTTTATAACACTGTCACTTTCAGGATATGAGCAGAGTTGCTGCAAAGTGAGTATCTCCTCATTAATTTGGAATTGTGTCTTATCTTAAATGCAGGTATTTTAGCATCTCCACAGTCTGCTCCTGGAAACTTGGACAATAGTAAAAGTGGAGAAATTAAAGGTAATGGAAGTGGAGGAAGCAGAGAAAATAGTACTGTTGATTTCAGCAAGGTAATTTAGTCATTAATATACATTTCCATTTCATTTCGTAATCATTACTGAGCATTTGGAGTTTATGACATCATCAACATTGATTATAATTTTAGTAGCCTGCAATTTACATGTGATATTTATGAAATGTTAAAAGTCAAATTGTGAGAGAGCCTCCAAGAATTTGAAAAACTATGTTTTACTATTTTTAGCAATCCTGAAAAAAATAATGTAATTGGTATGGTATTTTTGTCTGTACCTACTCATAGATATCTTGAAACTTTGTCTTCATTTTTTTTTTTTTTTTTTGATATATTGAAACTTTGATCCCTTTTGAAATGCAGTCATTTGTTCAGGAGCTACCCCACTACAACAGGGCTACCCCACTAGGTCAGCTCTGGGCATGTTACAGCACTCGTGAGTCAGCCCTCTGTGGGCTGTACTGCGATCACAGAATTACTGTCCTGTGTTGTTGGTACTCTCTGGAATGCCACTGGGGAATAGATCGTTGTTTCCCCATGGATAGGATGGGGAAACACCATGGTAGGCATGGATTTAAAAACTATCTCAATATATGTTTTATTTGTTAGATGAATAGTTTAGTTGAAATAGGAAAAAAAGGCTTATTTTAAAAGATCAAGGCAAAAATCAGCTTAAATTACAAAGTCATTTAAAATATACATTATGAATCCATTATAATTTTTTGTAATGTTACTTTGCTACAGGATGATACCTATTTTGGCATCTAGTTTGTGGCATGATTGAAACTGATTATAATAATTTTTCAGTAGACTGCTATTTATATTTGTTAAATGTGACTTATCAAGCAAGGTTCTGTTTTATTTTGAACCTTTTATCCTGTCATGTGAGGCCTTCAAGTCACATTTTGTATCAGAGAAGTTTAATGCCTTGCATTATAATTTTACTGAACCTCACACCCTAAAATTCTAGGCAGTGTTACAACAGAGGGCTTTAGCTATGTGGAAAGCTGTTGCAGCTGTAATTCTCTGGTATACTTTTACTGCTATGCTGTTAGTTTAAATAAAATGGAAAGTGTTCATAATTAAATTGTGGGTTATTTTTGTTGAATGTATAAGCCAATGTAATTTACATTGTAGATCGCCTCTAGACATGGCAGTTGCCATTTATTTTTGTTCTGTGTCACAGTTTTACTTTTTTTTTACTTGGCCTCTCCGTGTGTACCCTCCTTGTCTCCTGTTGGGCAGGAGTCTGCCTCCTGGCACTGTAGTTGTGGCACACTGGGTGTGGGACTCAAGAGGCCCGCTGTAAGTGCTGGTTTTCTTTTTAATAGCTAGCCCTGTAAGTGGTTGTTTAGTGACGTGTGGAACTGTGTAAAAATAAAGAAGTTGACATAAGTTAATATCATGTTTGTAACCTTTTCCTTGTAATTATACACAGACAACTAAATTTCACTTATGGCATTATCATACATCTAAACCAGTAATGGCTATGGATTTTAGTTGTAAATAACACTTTTTCTACTTAATGAAAATATAAGAGGACATTAGAATTTTTAAAAAGGACACCTCTAAACATATATAAAGGAAATCATTTATTTCAAAGATTAAAACCATAGAAAATTATGAATACGTTTTAGCACTGTGTATAATTTCACAAATTATTGTTAGCTTGTGAACAATGTCCTGAATAGTTTTTAATGAATAATGCTATATTCATTGAAAAATCTCCCAAGTTTTATGTCCGGTAGTTAAATTTCTGAAGTAGTAAAGATTGTGATAGTTACAACAGTAGTACTGATAAATATTTTGCTTGCTTTTTTGTATTTGTCTATTTCATATTCTGTATTTGTGTAGATTTGGCATTTATACATTTTTTTAGATCAAGGCTTGCATAGCAGATCGCCTTTATAAGCAATTTTTTCTTTCCTATTTCTTTCTAAATAGTTTTGTAAATAGCATTAAAACTTTATTTTTAATTTTTTATTTGTCAATAGGTTGACATGAATTTCATGAGGAAAATTCCCACGGGCGCTGAGGCATCCAATGTCCTGGTGGGAGAAGTGGACTTCTTGGAAAGACCTATAATTGCATTTGTGAGACTGGCTCCTGCTGTCCTCCTCTCGGGGTTGACTGAGGTTCCTGTTCCTACGAGGTAAACGTTAGTTCTAATTCATGTTTTCTCAGCACGTTCAAACATTTTTATCCACCAAAATAACAAATATCTTGCTTTATATCAAGAAGCTCATTTTTATTGTTCATGTTGGGTCATTGAACCAGCATGTTTTGAGCGTTAGATTTAGCTTTTCTCCAAAGTTAGAAAATAAAATAAAAATTACTTTAGGAAAAAAATTTCCATTGTACCTTTATAACAAGCTTGGTATCTTGGTAGCTTTGGGTTACACAGTTAATCTGTGTGTGTGTGTGTGTGTGTGTGTGTGTGTGTGTGTGTGTTTGCACGTGCGCGCTGGGGATTGAACCTAGAACTCTGCATATATCAAGCATATAAGACTGAGTTGTCTTAGTAACCCTGATTTTGTTTTTCCATATTTATCTAAATTTACATGCAAGCACTGGAGTCAGATTCAGTTAGAGTTGAATATTTGCTGGTTAACTTTTTGTGGGACTGGGGTGAAGTCTAACTTAATTTTTTTATTGTTGTTTACGTATGTGAGTCTGAATTATTGCACTAATAAGTATGGTCTCACGTTGCACCCAATCACCTATGAAAGTGTCAAGTTTATCATTCCTTATGGCCAAGTAGTACTCCATTGTAACTTAAATTTTCTAAGTTTTACTTGTAAAATGACACTTTATAAAATGTGTTTATAAAGTTGAATAAATGTAATAATGCCTTTGAAGTAGGCATAGAGGTCTGTTCTGGTCTGATCAAGATTTTTCTGCTTGTTGTACTTTACACATGAAATGTTAAGCTAAGTATAATATCTTACAGCTTTCTTCGAATAATCTGCTCATTAGCTATAGAAGGGATAGTCTAGTTTGCCATCTTTGGAATTTTAACTGTAAATGAGATTTATTTTTAAAATATTTTCTCTTACTATTTTATATGTAACTGCAAAGGAAAAAGAGCTGATGGAAATATTTGGCACTTAATTTGCTTTATTAAGTTTTCATTAATGATGTATTGAGATAAGTGAGGAAAAATAATTATATGGGTTCATATGTAAATTTTCATAGAAGTAGGATAAATACTGTGTTCAGGGTATGATTGTTTTCTTTGGAGGCACGGTCTCACTATGTAGTTCAGGCTGGCCTTGAACTCATGGAGATTCTCCTGCCTGAGCCTCCTGAGTGCTGGGATCACAGTCATGTGCCACCATACCTGGCGTGAATGTGAATATTCATTCTTTAATATTAACAAGGATATAACTAAGGAAGAAGTTAAATACTTATTATATAGTCACTAGAATAATTAAAGTTTTGATGTTAAATATGGTTATAAATAAAATTTCTTTTTCTTTCCAGAAGAATTATGTGACTAAAATGTCCTGTCTACATACTAAAAATTTTACCCAGAACTATAATTTGAGGGATTGTAGATTTTTTGTTTATACTTTTTTAGTTTTAGTGGTGCATGCTAGGTGTCACCACTAAGTTCTACTCCAGCCAACTGTGCATTTGTACTCTTCAGTATTTTATTTATTTTTAAGTATTTAATGGGATTGCTGTTCATTTTATATATAGAGTATATTTATCATCTGCTGAGACTAGGTTTGTTCTAATCCAAAACATTATAGATGAGAAATTTTAACAAAAAATAATTTATTTACTTTTTAATTACTATTTTGCCCAAAGGAATTATGAAGTGCTAACAAGAAGTTAGTTTCAAATTGCCATAGTGACTCCTTGCTGGTATTCTCGTGATTCTCACGCAGACTGGGAAAGGGGCTGTGTAGTGTTTCTGTGTTTATGGTGTAATGATTTTTAAAAATGACTCCCTAGTTTTTTGTGTATATGTTGTTTGTTTTTAATTTGAATCTATGCATCGTTTTTTTCCCTCAGGTTTTTGTTTCTGTTGTTGGGTCCCGCAGGCAAGGCGCCGCAGTATCATGAAATTGGCAGATCTATAGCCACACTCATGACAGATGAGGTAAAGAAACATCTTTTGACATAGGTAGTAATTATGAAATTAAATTGTGATGCTCCTCTTGTTCACAGTGAAGCTTAAAAATTATGCTTGATGTCAATACTGTGTTATTACCTGTTCGTTCTTCATTTTTCTCCATAAGCTTTCCTTTCTGTACCCTACTTTTTTTTTATTACAGCATTTGTTATTACCTGCAGTTACATGTTTTATTTAACTTGTTTAGCTATCTTTCCTCCTACTAAAGAAGTATTTCTGTTTTAATGATTTTTTTTGGTGATGATACTAGAGATTCGTCCTGGGACCTTTACACTGAACTGCATTCTCAACTTCCCACCCCCGTTTTATGTATTTGGTATAGGATTTCACTCCACAGCTCGGACTTATAGTGATCCTCCTGTTTTCATCCTTCCCAATGCTGGGATTAGAGGTTGTGCGCCACTACACCGGATTCTCCCAACCCTTTAAAAAAACAAATTGTAACAGACTCTTGCTAAGCCTGAGTTTCCCAGGCTGTGTTCAGATTTGAGATTCTCCTACCACAGCTGCCCAGGGGTTGGAATTAACAGGTGTGGGCCACACACAGCTCCAGAAAGATTCTTGAGTACAAGGACTTCACCTTGTCACTCTTTATCTTTAATGCTTTATCTTTAATGCTTAGAATTATTCCTAGCAAATAGTAGGTAACCAGAAAATAGTTTTCGTCAAATAAATTGTGTACTGCCCTATGTTCATTCTCTCAGGGTAAATAACATGTAGGAGTCTATAAGAGCAGGATTAAGTTTTTCAGTTGTGTGTGTGTGTTTGTGCTCCTGGGACTTGACCTTAGGGCCTTGCGCTTACACGGCAGGCACTTTTTTCTCTGGCTCTTAGAAAAAAACCAAATCTATAATCATTTGGAGTTAAAGAAGAGTAGCATTACCTGCCGCAGTATTTGATTCTGTGATTATTCAAAGTATTTTCTGTACAAAATTGTTGTGTCTTGACACATCACTGTTTTGTTTGTTACTGTTAACTCATCTGATAATATTAACAGTAAATAATGTTTATAGTTTATAGCCAGGGCTTGGTACTAGTACCTGCCTGAAGTAAGAGCCTAGGTAATGGTCTTTATTATGAATAATATCTAAAATGGATGTACTAAGTATAGAATTTCCTTTCTTCTTTTAAGATCTTTATCTCAATGTTTTTTTTCTTTAGATTTTTCATGATGTAGCTTATAAAGCAAAAGACAGAAATGATCTTTTATCTGGAATTGATGAATTCTTAGATCAAGTGACTGTCCTCCCTCCGGGTGAGTGGGACCCTTCTATTCGCATAGAGCCACCAAAAAGTGTCCCTTCTCAGGTAAGAGCTTTGAGCCTTTCTGTAAAATACTTTCTTTAATTTAAACATTTTTATTTTTAGGTTATATATTTTAAGATTCAAGAAGCCAAAATTATTGACTGGGGAGTGTAGCGCTGTGGTGGAGAGAATGCCTAGCTTGTATGAATCTCTGGAATCTACCCATAGCACCATGAAAAATATGCAGTCATATATAGAAAAACTAAAGAGCTATTTAGAGCTGTTGTGTCTACACCTGGCCATCTTTCCATACTATGGGTCTCTTTTTTTGTTTATTCTAGTTTTGCTCAGTTTATGTAATAGTCTTATTTATTGCTTTCTTACTGAAAGTAATCATGTTATGTGTACTATTTTGTACCTTGCTATATACCTCCACCCAGGTTCAGTACCAGTAGCCTGAAATTCAGAATAGTCTGAAATCTAACTTTTTGAATACTAACATAATGCTTAATAAAATGTTCATGATACTGAATTCTGACATATAGCTCAAAAAATTTCAGATCGTGGATTTTCAAATATAGCATTTTCAATCAGCTATATACAAGTAAATAGTTGAATCTCAAAACATTTCTACTCCCAACTGTTTTGGATAAGGGATACTTGCTCTGTATAACAAAGTATCCTAGAGACCTGTTGATAAGAAATCATGAGAAGGGCTAAGGAGGTAGCTCAGTGGCATAAGCACCTGGCTGGCAAAAGAAGGTCCTGAGTTAGATCCCTGGTACAAAAAAAAAAAGAAGATGGAAATATTCTTTATTTTTTTTTCTACAGCTATGTTGTATTCCATTTATGGGCATACCATTGTTTATTCCTGAGCTCTGATTATTTTTAGTTATTTGTTATTAAAAACTGTGCCAGTGTACTCATATGCCATTTCAGTTCTGTACCCATGTGTCTGTAGGGTACATCTCCCAATATCAGGTTGCTGGTTCAAAAGGGCATTCATTTATAATTTAAGTAGCTAATGCCCAGGTCTCTTTTACATCTTTGAACTGTTTTAGATTTCCACACCACTATCTACATCTCTGCATTTTCATTATCATGGTGTGTTGCTAAACCTTCAAATATTCTCAATCTGATTGATATTTTTAGCTTGATACCTCATATATTTTAATACACTATAATTAGTGAGATTGAATATTCCTGCTTATCTTTTGTTCAGCACCCCGTCCCCCATTTCTGTAGTTTTAACCATTTAAGTCATTCTATGACTCTTTGTAATTTATTATAGTTTATCTTTGTTTTTTAATCTTTATTTAATTGGTACAGGGTCTTGCTATGCAGCTCAGACTTGTAGTGATCCTCTTGTCTCAGTCTCCTCAGTGTTGGGATTACAGGCATGCACTACCACACCTGGTTTCACTGGGGTGCAGGGCTGGCTTGGCCTGTGGTACCTGTGATCGAACCTGGATCCTTGAGTTTGCCAGGCAGGTGCTTTGACTGCCAAGCTATCTCCCCTGCCCCTATTTATCATAGTTCATTACATGATGTTATGCATCCAATTTTTTCTTTTTTCCAAATTTTCTGCTTGTCCCAATTCATTAAAAAATTGAGGACTGCCCTTTTCTCTTCCTTCTGTTTTTGTTTTCTTTTGAGACAGGGTCTCACTATGCAGTCCAGACAGGTCTTAACCTCGTGATCTTTCTGTACCTCAGTCTCCAGTGAGCTGGAGCTGCAGGTGTGTGCCACCATGCCCAGCACGTGTGCTTGATTGGTGACCCTGCCTTCACTTGAACTAAATTTTATCTGCATTTATGCTGGTTTCTAGAAGTTTCTTTCATTCTATTAATGAACAAATTTTACATTGTTTTGAGATTTTTAAATATCTGATAAGTAAAAATATATATATGTATACATACTTTAAGAGCAGAATGAATATATTTATTTGGGGAAAGAAAGCAGTCTGCAAGAGGGACAGAAGGGGACTGAGTGGGAAGTATATTTTAATATCCAATAAATTTAGACTTTTGTCTTCTCATATTTTTCTGATTTTTTTCTTGGCTACCTTTGCATATTTGTTTTTCTATGTAAAATTAGCTTTCTATTTCCAGAACTAAAACCTCCTGGTTTAAGAAAACAGTTGTGATAATAGTTAAATTTCTCAATGAACTGAGGGAGAATCAACATCTTTGACATTGAATCTTTCTATTCAAGAACATGGTATGTCTCTCCCCTGTTGATATTTTATTTTTCAAGCTGGGTTTTCCATCATTAAGGAGTACTTTCAAATCTCAATTTCAATTGATATTACAAAGCTACAGTGATATAAACAGCATGATGCTGGTACAGAAACAGACATGTGGATCAGTAGAGGAAGCAGAAACAACCCCAGACATGACCTTAGCTACTTGATCTTTGACTACGAAGCCAAAACACACACTGGAGGAAAGATAGCCTCTCTAATAAATAGTACTGGGAAAAGTGGGTGTCTGCATGCAGAAGATTGAGTCTAGATCCGTATATTTCACCATGCAGTAAGGTAAAATCAGAATGGGTCAAAGATCTAAATGTTAAAACAGAAGCACTTTATGTGCTGGAATATAAAATAGGTAAAACTCTTGAAAACATAGGCATGGGCAAAGACTTTATTAACAAAACCCCAATAATGTAAGAAATAATACTGAGAATCAAAATAATGAAAGTATATCAAATTAAGAATCTCTATGCAGCAAAGGAAACAACTGGTGTGAAGAGATAACAGAATGGGAATAAAATTTGACCAGTTAGTCTTCAGACAGAAGACTAACATCTGTAATATATAAAGATCTCTAAAAATTTAAATACCCCAAGTAAAAGGCCCAGCCAAAAAATGGTCACCTGTAAAGAATAGACACTTCTTAGAAGTACAGATGGCCAGTGAATATATGAAAAATGTTCACCATCGCTGAGCGGTTAGAGAAATGCAAATTCAAACAACACTGAGGTACCATCTCACTCCAGAAGGAATGGCTATCTCTAAGAAATCAGTGACTAACAGAAGTTGCCAAGGCTGCAGGAGAAACACGAACCCTTCTACCTTGGTGAGAATGTAAACTAGCACAACCACTATGGAAATCAATATGGTGATTCCTCAAAAAACTGAAAGTAGTAATTTCATTTCACTCAGCTATTTCCACTTCCAGGTATATTCCCCAAAGAGTTAAAATCAACATATTACAATGATACATACATACCTTTGTTTATAGCAGCACAATTCATAATAGCTAGATCTTGTAAACTGCCTATATGCCTATTAACAGATGGATATGGAGAATGTGGTATAATAGACTACTATCTGCAGAAGAATGTATGAGGCATTCATAGGCAAATAGATGCATCTCTTTTTTTTTTTTTTTTTTTTTTTATTTTATGGAAGGGTCTACAGGGTGTTCAGGGTCTCACTAGTATGTCCGACTCCTAGTGATCTGCCTATTTACATCCTCCCAAAAGCTGGGATTACAGGCGCTCGCCAGCACGCCCAGTCTTAGCGGCCTTGGGGGCAGGCGCAGCATGGCAGGTGCATCTCTTGACCATGATGTTAAATGAAATAAATCAGACATACAGGGTTAAATATTATGTAGTTTTTCTTATATACCCAAAATATAAATAAAGAACAAAAAATATATAAGAAGGAAGTAGGGAGATCTTTTTCAAATGAGAAAGGGAACAAAAGAAAGGAATAGGCGGGGAAGGAAAAAAAAGGATAAAACAGGAATTGAAAAAGTGGAAATAGGACTTTTGAAAATAGGAAGGTGAGTAAGAGTTGGAAGAAAGGAAAGGAGATTTGATGTATTATGTACATGTATAAAAACTTCCCACAATAAATGCAGTTACTTTGTATGGCACATATGTACTAATCCCCCCAAATGTTTGCCCTATCTGCAGTTTGCTTGCATCTTGATAAATGTATTTATACACTCTTTGTTGTTGTATCCTAAATGAGGTCTTTGTTTCCTTTTCTTGTCTGATGCATATACATGTATGTATTACTTATGTGTTATATGTAGTCTTGCGGTCTTATTGTATATAGTCTTTAGTCATGTCACTTGTTATAAGAGACAGTTCATTCTCCCTTTTCTAAGTTTTATACCTGTAGCATTTTCCTGTTGTCTGATGGTATTGGCTAAAATTTGTCACAGCACTAAGGCAGTGAGCGTCTGACCCTGGTACCAGTGGTGATGGCTCAGACCTAAGTGTGCACATGGTAGGCAGCCACCGAGCCTGGGGCTTTCCTCGGGCATCAGTGTCTCTAGTACTTCTTTTCTTTTTTAAAAAATCTTTATTTATTTATTTGGTACAGGGTCTCACTACACAGCTTAGATTCATAGAGATCCTCCTGTCTCAGCATTCCCAGCGCTGGAATTATAGGCATGTACCAGCACAGTGTGCCCCAGGTTCCAGGGCCAGCACAGCAATGCGGTACTGGGGACCGAACCCAGGTCCCTGTGCTTGCCAGGCAGGCGCTTAGACTGCTGAGCTATATGTCCAAACCCTAGTGTTTCTTTTATTAAGTAACATACTAATAACTCGGACCAAAACATACATTTTATAGTGAATACCACATTTTGTCTTACATTTTTAATATAACTGGATATGAATTTTCTAAATACTTAAAAAATTATCAATTATTTTGGTGACTATTCTTAAATATGAAATGCTGCATAATTGGAGTTAATTCAGATTTGAAGGTCTGTCTGCTGTTTTTAAGATTTTTGCATCATTTTTGAATAATTTTTGTCTGTAGATATTTGTGCCTTTATGTGTTGGTATCATTACTGTATGTGTTTTGAAGAAAAGAATTTCCTAAGTTTCCTTTTCCTGTTGTTTAAACAGCTGAAATAGTATAGATTTGTTAGGCTTCGAAAGTTTAGAAAAATCCCTTTGTGATACTGTTTTTGTGAGCTTACATCTTTTGTCATATGATAGGCTTCAAGAATTTTCTGGGGCTGGGGAGATGGCTCAGTGGAATAAGTGCTTCTCTGGTGAGCACAAGGGCCTGAGTTCAATCCCCAGTTCCACCAAAAAAAAAAAAAAAAAAGAATTTTCTTATTTTTAGGGATATCAGTTTGTGAAATGTTCATTCTCTGTGAGTCCAGTTTTGGTACAGTACAGTTTCTGTGCATCCCTATATATTTTCTTCATTTTGTGAAGTTGTTACCTTCTTGCTATATCATATCTGCTCATGAGCTAATTGTCTGTCATATATTTCAAAAGGCCAGTTTTTAAAGTTTATTTCAGATTTCCTTCTTTAAAGTCATGTTTTAATTTTATTTATTTTACTTCACTTTCTGCTGTTCATTTGATTTCTTCTAGTGACCGTTAGGAAAGATTTTTGTTTGCACCTTTTTTGCCTTCTTGATTTTTTTTCATTTTAAATTTTTCTTAATATAAATGCTTGTCTTTGGGAGAATTTTTTGTATTCTAACTTTATCTCATAGATTATAGTATGTGATATTTTTCTATGAATTCTGTAGGATTGGTTTTTCTTTACTCTTTGATCTAGGATGTAGATTAGATTAGTTTTGGTTTTAACATTTGCAGACGATAACCCTATAGATGGGTTTGCTGGTCTGTAAATGCTGACCACGTAGCCCAGTGTGTGTGAATCTGCGCCGCAGCCAGCGCCTTTGCCTGCAGGGCCCGCCTGGATTCCGGGCTCTTTGTCTTGCCGTCTCCTTCCCGTCTGTCTCCTTTTCTGTGCGTGCGCACACACACACGTTTGGTTATCATGGCTTCTTGTGGCAACCAGCTGAAGGCTTGTTTCATTGTCTTCATGTGAGAAGAAGATGCTGTATCAAGGAAGTGGTACTCTTGAATTTTAAATAAAGTATAATGGAAAATTATCAACCAATTTTGTCTTTTTTAAAGTGAAGTTATTTAATGAGAGAAAAATAGCATCTTTGAAATTAATAAGTATGTTTTTCAGTGGTTAACATAAGAAATATTTTTTAAAATTTGAGTTATATGCTTTTTAGAGGATATTTATATTCACAATTATTGCTGAATAGTAATTTGAAATGATACATATGAATATGGTGTACAGTATATTGATGTTAGAATATGAAATGCAGAAGGGTAGCCATACATTTCAACTATGAAGAAAAACTGATATTAGATTCACAAGTACAATTTATTTTTAAAAGTTTACATTACGAAAAATTTATTTTTTTCTCAGAGCACTGATTAGATATATAAGCCATATAAGATCTGATCCTTTGAATCAAAGATGCCTTTTCAATTTTTTTAAAAAGAGAATTCTGAAAGTGTGTTTTTATGAAATAGGAAAAGAGAAAGATTCCTGTTTTTCCCAATGGGTCTGCCCCTTCATCTGGTGAGATTCCTAAGGAGGCTGCCCATCATGCTGGGCCTGAGCTGCGCAGGACTGGACGGTGGGTATCAGTGCACACGGCTTCTTGGACTAGGGATTGACTTGATAGAAAGGGAACATTCTTTTTCTTTTCTAGAATTTGGAACCTGATCTTATATAGTATTTCTATCATTTTTTTAAAAAATGTGCATTATTGAGTAAGGTGTGTGATATTAGGGAAAATGGTTATGCATTTAAAATAAATTTTAATAGTCTGTACCAAACTTAAAATAATGTATTGTGGGTTCAGAACTCACAGTTATTTAATATGTAAGTTAAATTCCACTGCCTCTACAGAAGGTTCTTAAAGAAGACTTTAGTGTCATTTTATAGATTTTCATATCAACTTAAGAGAATTAGGGGAAGAAAGGGGAATTACAACAAATGATTTTTATCTGTTGTGCCTAGATTTAAAACTCTTAGATGAACATTATGTTATGAGATGCTATACAGTTAGATGGACAAACATCCCATTTATGAGTTCCAGAAACCTTATTAGCACATTAAAAAGTTAGTTTTGTAGTAAAGGACAGAAATATTGCCAAGTGTAAACATTTTAAAATATGTTTAAGATATTTTGTAGAAGTAGGCAAATGTTACGGTATTTTCATACTGTAGAAAAGCATATGGCTATTGACTTATGTCTACTGTGCTCAATGAAGAGTTAAAAGAATTTGAATCTTAAATCTTTGATAAATCTAGGGTATTTTACCCAGCCTCACTATTAGTGTTTTTGGTGATATTCCTTAAAGATTACTATACATAAAAAGTGATTGGCATAGTGAATAATAGACTTTCAAAAAGCTCAAATTCTCAGTGAATTAATTGACTAATGAAATGTCTTAGCTTGTGTGAATATGATAACAAAACTTCATCCCCGTGCGCACAGTGCGGGTCTCCTGTTAGGTGTTGATTCTTGGTCCTTCAAATGCAGATAGTTAGTCACTCCGAAGCCCCAAAGTAGATACACAGGCCCCTCACAGTCACTCAGGAGGCTCTGTAAGCCGTCTGTTAAATAGCCAGTTACTGATTTGATGATACAGAGTCATGTTCTAGATGCTCATCAGCATTGGAAGCAATTCCCCTTGCTGTCAGTTTATTTGTAGAGTAACTTACCAATGTATGTTTAGGATTTATATTAACTTCCAAAAATTTAGAATGATAAAGCTTGAAACATCCAAAACATTTGAAAGCGTAGATTTAATTCTTTTGTCTGCTGTCCTGCAGTTGGTATTGGAATAATTCCCTGTTGTACGAGTCAGATTTTATTACCTGTTTTTTGAATAATCTGCTCAATCTAGTACCTACTATGCCCCAGGCAGTGTTCTAGACACTGAAGATATGGCTGTGAGAAAGGAAAGTCCCTTCCTCTCATGGACGTTAGGTCTTACTGTAATGTTTTCTAATTAGATGCATTCAAAGATGTGATTGTAAAAATGGAAATGGCATAGCTTTTATGTTTTATTAGATTTGTAATTTCATTAA